CAGGCAGGAAGAACTTCAGAAGCAAAGGCCTTCACGACTTTCCCTGGGCCTTCCATTCCCACCCCCTCTGCCATGGAAGCCAGGGAAGGGAGGCCTTGACACATTCCAGCAATGAAAGGACTGGAAAAGATTCCAGAAAACCAGAAACAACTCCTCCTAGTCCCTACAGAGTGTCACCTGGCGGACCTAATGTTGTAACGACACAGCCCTGCCCCATGGGCTTGCTTGCCAACCACCAGCCCTGGCTATAACTTCCGTCTCAGAGGCATCCCAAGTCACTTTCTTTTTACTACAAGTTATAACTGGGTTGTACCCCACCAAGCCCTTCCCCTTACACACTGCCTTCTCTCCTTCCACAGCCAGAATCTAACAAAGAATACACTCACCTAGTGGCATGTGCTGCATGCTCCCTGTTTGGGTAGGAGGTGTCCCCTGGAAGCTCACATGTGAAGCAATGCAAGAAAGTTGAAGCAAAATGATTGGGTTATGAGAACCTTGACCTAATCAGTGTGTTAATTCCACTAGGGATTAACTGGATGGTAACTGTATGCGTGGGATGAGGCTAGAGCAGGTGGATTATGGTGGGGGGTTCCTTGGGGTATATATTTTGTCCTTGGCAAGGAGAGAACACTTTGCTTCCTCCTGTGATGTCCTGAGCTTTCCCAGAGCGCTAGAGCAGGCCGTCTACGGACTGAGACCTCTGAAACCAGGAGCCCAAACGTTTCCTTCTCTAAAATTGTCCTTGTCTGGTCTTTTGGTCATGGCAGGGGGGGAAAAAAAAAGCTGACCACAACACAATTCTTCTCTGACCCGAGGGAGCTGAGTGAATCCCCCGTAGGGGGTGCTGTTCCTAAGCCGCTAGGATGCCCTGGCCGGCCAGCCTTGCTTTGTCTTCTTGAAACAGCTTTACTAGTGTGTAACTGACACAGGCAAAGTGATCCGTGTGTACATACGTTACATACTTCAACCTCCGCCACCACCAAAATGGTGAAGGTGTCCACCGCCAATCCCCCTTCCGTGCCCCATCACAGGCAACCAACAACAGGTTTTCTGACTTTACGTGGTTTGCATTTTCTAGAATTTTCTATAAATGGAATGCTACAGCATAGATTCTTTTGGGGCCTGGCATTTTCCCCCCCTCAATGCGACTATTCCGCAGTCTGTCCTGCTGCCATCTGTACCAATGGTCCTTGCTCCTCACTGCTGGCAGCATTCCACCACATGGACACACCACGTCGTTTCTCCAGGTGTGGGCTAATACAAACAAAGCTGCTCTGGACATCTGTGCACAAGTCTTTGTGTTTCTTCCTTTTCTGCATAAAAACCTAGGAGTGGAATACTAATCTTGCCTTTATTTGGTTCAACCCTTTTCCCAGTTCAAATACTGGGATCCGCGTTTAGATGAGTGTCTCCAAATGCTGTACACGTATGATCTCTGAGGTGTGGGGGTGCCGAGGTGACCATGGCAATTAGTGCATCAAGTGGTGTTTCTGCTTTCTGATGGCTCCCGACTACTGTATATTCAGCTCAAGAAGAATGAAGGCAAACACAACGGGCCCCACACTGGGTCTTAAGCCGCATGAGTTGAAGGGGATGCATGTGGGCTTCAGGCCAAGGCCAGGAGGTGACCATAGGCACATGCGCTGGTCTCTGACCCCGCTGCCCTTTCTAAGGGAGAGATTTCCAACTCCTCCAAACCACTCAACACTGCCAACTAGAAAAGAACTGGCGTGAGTAAATGAAACTCACTGAACACATTCACCCCAAGAGTGAGAGTTGTAAAATGAGGGCAATGGAACCCACCTCGGGAACGGCTGCTTGAGTTCATTCACACACCACAGGCTTAGGAAAGACCCACCTGCGCCAGGTACCAGGGTGGGCTCTGGGATACCCTGGTCAACACACTGCTCTCTACCCGCACCGAGCAGACAAGCGAATGAAGAAAGAGGGGGATAAACCAACCTCTGTGCTGGGTGCTGGGAAAGAAAAGCAGGAAGGGCCAAAAGCACAATGGAGGCAGGGCATTCTGGAGGGAAAAATCAGAGAAGGGCTCCCGAGAGGGTACATCCACGCACGGCCCGGGAACGCCCTTAGACACTGAGCCTGGCAGCACTGTTACACTGTCAGTTAGAAATGGAGGTACGGAAGGGGGACAGGTAGAGCTGAGTCAGGTCCTCATCTAGACATTATCACCCAAGCACCTTGAGGCACCATATGGAACTCTCAGCTGTAGGGATGAACACACGTTGTCCATGCCAAAGGTGTTGTGTGCTGATTCTCAGAAGAAGTCCACCTCCTCCCTCCCCTCTCTTGGGGTACCAAAATTAAAACAAAACAAAACAGCGGGGAATCTTAGAGAAATTTCTGTCACTGACAATGGCACAGAGAGACCTTTCTGCCACCTCTCTCTCAAAGCAAGGTTCTTTGAGAACTGCCTTCTCCAATGACACCCATCCTACTCCCCAGTCAGTGGTAACCGGTATCTCTCTGACTCCTTCCTATAGGCAACAAGCTCAACAGTCTTCTCGTGCATTTAAACAAGTGACAATGTACATGAGCTCACAATCACCACACCTCAGTGGCACTCTTGCTGCTTTTGGTCATTCAACAGATAAACTCCACTGAGCATGGTGGCGCAGGTCTATGACACCAGCAACTCAAGGCACTGAGGTCCAAGCATCCATGTTCAAGGCCAGCCTCAGCAACGGAGCAAGACTGTCCCAAAATTTCAAAAAAAAAGCAAAAGGACTGAGGATGTAGCTTAGTAGAGGATTTGTCCACCACTACAGTTCAGCCCCATTACTGGAAAAAAAGAAAGTCAGTCCTTACATGTTGTCAGGATTTTCCAGCTGAGAAACTCATGGCTTATCTTCAATTTGTAGGCACCTAAAAATACCAGGCATGTGTAAAGAGCAATAGTGACATTGCACAGGCATTGCGGCAGCCCACCTTCTGACACCCGAGAAGTCAGACACTTCTTGTTCTGTTCCCTCTTTATGCCAGGCACCCAAAGCAGCACCTAGCATACAGCAGGCACGCAAGAGGAATGCGCAGAGGAAGTCCGCACATATAAAACAGCTGCTGGTGGCACAGACCCAGCAGGAGTGTGCTGAGGACGAGCATCAACATCTGTCCATGGCCCAGGGAAGTGTTGGGCCTCAGCCATCACCCAGTCCACAGGAGCCAGCTCAGCGCTGATCCCCGTAGAACAGAGAGCAACCACAAGCTGGGGTCGAATCCAGGAATGCTCCACGCCCAGCAGGGAAATGCTCACAATACTGAACAATCAGAATCATATACAGCAGCAACTGTAGGTCCCAAAGCCACCCTAAGTGAGTGACTCAGTGCAATGGCAGCTGGTGGAGACAGATGGGCAGCAGACCTTTGCCTGCAGGTATCATGGAGCCAGGGAGGTGCCAGCTCCGCTGCTGGCTGTAAAAACCACAGTGAGGGTGGCTGGTGGGGCAGGAGTCCAGGTCAGGGTTGCTGAAGTGGATTTCACCAGCACATCCATGTTCACACACATGAGCTACACCCAAGCCCTGGGCATCAACCACTGCAGGCGGTCACAGAGCCACTCCAGGTCCAACAGATGGGGGACCACACAGGACCTGAAGTGGCTCCATGCATTCTACCTCCAGCACATGCCTCGCCTCTTCTTGACCTGGACACACATCCAGCAGACGTTCACCTCCACCCCCCAGACTTCCCATCTGTGCCAGAGGATAAGGAAGGAGGAGCACAGACGAGCAGCCAGCCCCCGGCCAGCACGCACGTACATGTGAGGCCAGACTTCCACACGCCTGGCACAGTCTGTGACGTTGCTCCCTGAATGACAGCAACTGCATCTCATGGTATAGTAGAGGACACGGTCCTCTTTGTCCCCCTCAGCACTACCATCAATGCCACATAGCATCTGCTGGACACCGGATGCCAGTAATCACTCATCCTCACAGCAAAGTGTAGCTGCCCTTTGAGGAGGAAGAAAATAAAGACCTGAGTGGTTAAGAGTACCCTGAATTTGAACCTGTATCCGTTATCAAAGCTTTTACGGCCGGGCATGGTGGTGCACACCTGTACTCCCAGCAGCTCGAGAGGCTGAGGCAAGAGGATGGCAAGTTCAAAGTCAGCCTCAGCAAAAGTGAGGTGCTAAGCAACTCAAGGAGGCCTTGTCTCTAAATAAAATACAAAATAGGGCTGGGGATGTGGCTCAGTGACCTAGTGCATGAGTTCAATCCCAGGTACCAAAAAGAAAAAAAGAAGCCACTACGGTTTAGAGTTCTCTGAAATCTTTTCTTAGAATAGCCTGTTCTAAACTACATAAGGAAAAGGAAACAGGTTCAGAAACGGGGGCCTGATTTCAGTCCTGTGCCACGCCCTCCCCTCTGGGATAAGAGCCTGAGAACCCAGTGTGGCCCCTCCCAGTCCTGTGCCACGCCCTCTCTGTAACACTCTTCCTCCCTCTCCAGGGGCAGGTGCCCCTCCAGAGCTCTCTTAAGACAAAGCTTTGAAGAGCCCCGAGACACAGACCCTGCCAAATGAGACACAGACCAAATGAGACAGCCTATGCCAGCTAGAACCTAGTGCTGGCAGTGAGTTCAATGGTGCAGCTAATCCACCAGGTCTACCCTTTGCTGTCTGTTGGAGCCCTGATAAGTATTTGCAAAAATTCTCCAAGTGTTGAAGAAGCAATTTTGAACATTTGTCCATTATCCGGTTAGGCCATGACACTACAGCGAAGCTGTCATCAGTAGCGGGCTAACCAGAACCAGTCCTTCAACTCACAATCTGCCCTGAGTTCCACTGGAGGGAGGGCACAGGAGGAAGAAGGGCCACTCAGATATCCATACCAGCAGCCTAGGCCACAACAGGCCAAGATTTCAAAGGCCATGTAACGTTCTAGCTTTGCAGTCAACAACTGCTATTTCAACAAAGTACACAATGAACTTGAAAGTCTGTTTTCAAATTAAACAGGTTATACTTTATCAGTTCTCTGCCTTGACAAACAAAAGGACAAGAGATGTGACCCAATTCTAAGTGGGAGCCTGTCTTTCCTACTCAAAGCCTGGGGAACTGCAACCAGAAAGCTGTCACACCATGTCCAGGTTCTCAGCATGTAGACGGCCCAGTGTCAAGAGCAAGGCAGGCCTGCACAGCCCCTGCATGAGACTCACGGTCAAGGGAGTCAGAAGGCCCCATCATCGTGGTGAGTAACACTTTCACACATAAAACCTTTTGAAAAATCAAAATAAATGCTAAAAAATCTCTGACAAATAAAATAGTAAAGTTTTAGATAAAGGGCAGTGCTTTACCGACAGGGTTCAGCCCTGCACTCTGCTGAAGGTGGCAGGGCATGCCCAGGAAAGCAAAAGCCCTGGAACGCCAAGTCACAGGCACCCACAGTTCAGGTCCTGGGCCCTCAACACGGCTAGCAGGTCTGTCACTGTGGACAGGCTCACGGTATCAGTCACACCCGCTGTGGTCCTGATGGCACACTGATCCAGGCAGGGTGACCTTCACAACTGCTCACCTGACCTCCTCCCCCTCTGCTCAGACCTGCCACCAGCTTCTGGTAGCCCATTTCTTCCTGTTTGGTAAAGAGGGGCAAATGGGCTGCCAGAAAATGAAATTTGGCAAGCAAATATATCTTGCTCGACTCCCAGGGGATTTTTTTTTTTTTTTAATATAGTTACAATCGCCGCCAGGCTGGGGCTGCGGCTCAGTGGTAGAATACCTGCCTAGCATGTGTGGGTCACTGGCTTCAATCCTCAGCACCACATAAAAATAAATAAAGGTATTATGTCCATCTACAACTAAAAAATAACAAAGAATTTTAAAACTTTTAAAAATCAATTGCCAACATTTTAAAACTAATTTTTTTCAAATTTAAATAAAAATCCAGACATGTGGCTTTTCTTAACAAGAGCAATGTTCTGCCAACACAGCCCATGTGCCCAGATGGTGGACAACAGCATGGCCGTGGAGGGGAGAAAGCGCCTGCTCTCTAGCTGGCCTCGCCCCACGTGCCCGTGCAGCCCAGCACTGGGGTTCAGTGAACATAAGCAGCCACACACTGGCCCTCGGGCAGTTTCCAGTCCAGAGGGAATGTGAGATGCTTAGAGCAGGTGGAATAGAGAACATGGAAGAGACCATGGTGAAGGGAAGTGACACAGGGAGAGTGGGAAGGTGGTGTCCAGTGGGGGAGGGGTTGGCACCTGGTCAGGAAAAGGCCGTCAAGAGGGGTTCCAGAGTGAAGGGCCCACGGAGATGAGGGAAGCCTAGGTTCAGGCCCGAGGCCCCTCCTCAGTGCCATCTCTTGAGGAATGTACTTCTTCATGCCTCAGCTTTTCGTGTACAAAAGAGCACCCACCTATGGGGTCCACAAGGACCAAATGAGACAGCCCATGCCAAACATTTAGCACAGTACGTGGCACAGAAATGCTTGACACCTGCTAGACAGCATCACCTCCCTCACCTCCTCCACCGGGAGGACAGAGACCAAGAGAGGGATGAGCCCCTTCCATGACCCAGGCTGTCCCAGGCCCTCTGGGACCCTTCCTCGCCCCAGGAACATGCTACTTCCTGGCACAATGACAGTGCACTCTGGGACCAGACCACTCCAGGCTTCTGGAGCAGTCTCCACTTCTTAAAAACATACCTACCTACATTCTCCACATTTCTCCAGAGGGCAGGAAGGCAGGGCCTCCTCTCCAACCCCGACACCAGGCAGGCACTGCCTGGCAAGTGCAAGAGCACAGCCCTGTCCCCACCTTGACATCACAACTGTGAAACCACACGAATGCCTGAGGAGGCTCAAAACCTAGACAGACACGCGTTGCACACAGAGACCATAAATTCTAGTTTCCTTAGACTCCAAATCATCAGAAAGCTGAAACAACCAGATTTTTTATAGTGTCACACTATGATAACTGATGTTCGTAATTACGGCCCCGAGGCACAGCACATTCCTTAACTGCCTTCTAAATTATCGAAGATCAAATTATGTTCGGCACATTTTAGCGTTAAGTGTATTTTAATTATATTCTCATTCTTGGAAAATTAGTAACCCACATGGCTGAAATAGATGATCTAGGCATCTCTGTGAATAAAACATTCTGGATAAAGCTCAGGATTTCCAGAATGTTCTCACAAAACCACACTCTGCCCTCTTTCTAGGTAAATGAGAGTTTAAAATTGATATCATGCCTTCTTCCAAGAGAATATGGCCACTTAAACACCAGCAAATTATGGAGTATTTTTTGAAGTAAGGGGAAAGGAGATGCAATAAAATAGATGAAGGCAACGAGAAGGTTGGAGCCAACTACACGCCGTAACGTCTCAACTGTGGCTGAAAATGAACCCATACTTCTGCTGAGCCTCCCAGCAACCAAGGCAAAGAAGAAAATATGACCACTGGTAGCATTACCAGCATCTAAAGAGTTAGATCCAATGACTACTTAGTCAAGAGAATTGTTCTGGTATTTATGCCCGGAGAAATCTCTCATGCAGAAACAACTCACACCATGCCTTATAAGCACGCACACCGAAAACACGTGATGGTTCTCAGCAGTCTCTGTGTCTCCTAACACCCCGAGGTTGAAATTTCTAGTGCCACTGAAAATGGGTGAGACATACTGGGCCAGGGGACCGCGGGGGAGCAGGCAGTAAGGGCTGTGATGAACCAGAAGGGGCACGTCACAGCTGAGGACCCAGCTGTAAACTGGCTCTGCCAACTGCTGCCATGTGGCAATATGGGCCCAATGCTTCCCAATCATCTCATCACAAAATAGGTCAAGCATACAGAAGAAGAAACGGCACATACAGGAAATGAGGAGCAGAAAGTAAACGCGTACCTGTGTCCCATCACCCACTGAGACACGGAACCTTCAGTAGGTTTGAGGCCCCTCCCCCGTGTCATCATTGCCTTGACATTCTTGCTCATCACCCCTTACTCTTCTGTATGGTGGCCACAGTGCGGCTTCCTTACCCACCTCCTTTCCAGCCCACAGCTCTCATCTCCCCATCACTGTGTCCCAGGGCACTCTTTCTTCACATCACACCCTCACGTCCATGAGATACCCCACACGATGTGCCAGAGCTGAACCTTGTCCACTTTATCGTTGCACTGATCTCAATGCTATGCTACCACCCCCACCCCCACGTCCTTTTTGTTTTTAAACCTACTCCCTTGCTAGTGGCATGTTAAGTTGTGTACACATTTTGCCACGAGCAATGATCTGAATATCACTCTGTCTCCCTCCTGGTGCACGCAGGCAAGGGTTTCTCTAGCATGGGGTCAAAATCTAGGTGTTCGCCAAACTAATTCTAATTTTAAAAATACGGGGGCTCACTCCATAAGCACAAGCAAAACACACCATGGGCCAGATGCCTCCCTTGCCGCATGGACGAGCAGCCCCCTGGGGAGCTGCAGACGAGGCCTGCCATAGGCCGTGAACCCACCCAGGCAGCGTCTGCTTCTGCCCATTAGCTGCCAAGTTCAAGGACAACAGCATCTCATGTTCAGACAACATAAGTTTTGGGCAGGTACTTGTGAATGTCATTTCTTGAAAATCAGCTTTTGAGTACTTCTGGGTAGCAAGGAACTTGACCTTACTCTCACTGACACGAGCCCAGAGGCTCCTGGAGAGCTCAGAATGGAAACACCTTTAGAAAGTGTAGACTGGTGAGATTTCTTCCAACATTCATCCATCCTAAAATGTGGCCCCAAGACATTCCCTAATGCTTTCTAAGAGATATTTTGTAGCAGGAAGTTTCCAAATAGCACAGGAGCTATCATCTGAAGGTCTGTCCCCTCAAAAGTCATACTGAAATTCAAGCCCCCAAACTGATGGTGTGCACAGTGTGGGGCCTATGGGAATAGATCAGGTTGTGAGCACAGAGCCTTTCAACTAGGGCCAGTTGGTAGTCCCTTTATAGACAAATGTACCCCAGAGCAAGGTGGGGTGGCCCATGCCTGCAATCCCACTGACTCGCAGGCCGAGAAGGAGGATCTCAAGTTCAAGGCAGACTTGGCAACTTAGCGAGACCCTGTCTCAAAATAAAAAATTAAAAAGTGGCAGGGATGTGGTTCAGCAGTGAGTATAAAGTGTCTCTGACTCAATCCCTAGAACTGCAAAGAGTGGGAGGACCTCAGAGGTAGAGTGCTTGCCGAGCACACAAAAGGCCCTGAGCTCTATCCACAGCACCACAAAAACAAAGACAAAGCACCCAGAGAGACCTCTGTCTCCTACCACACGAGGACACAGCACTTGAGACACCAGCCGCCTTGTTCATGGAATTCCTAGACTGGATACTGTAAGGAATACATTTCTGTTATTCGTAAGCTCTCCTGTTTATAGTATTTTGCTCTAGTTGCCAAAATAGACTAAGATAGTGGGTGACACAATCAATAATAAGTAGAAAAGCACTGTGCCTGTACTAAAAACATGTAAGGCTGCCCCTTCTGAACTGCAGAAGTTGATTTCTATCTTTTGAAAATCGGTTTGACAAAGGCTTACTGGAATGCAGCCACACCGTGGTTCACACTCAGAGGCTTCCTGCTACCTGGGGAAGCTAAGAGTTCTGACAATGACCTGTCCACAGGGCCTACCGTCTGGCCTGTACAGAGCCAGGTGTCCCATCCCTGGGCTTTCTCTTCTGGTCTCCCAGCCTAGCCCTGGCTTAGGTCATCAGACAACACACATCTAGATTCCAGCAAAAAAGAACCTTATGCACACTAGATCACTTCCTACGTCACCTACTGAGATGGAGCCAGATTCCAAGCAAATCATCTTTTTATATTCAGAGTTTACTCTCAGATAAGAAGCCCTGAAGTGTGATGCAGAGGATGAGGAAGAGTGGCACAATGTCAGATAAAGAGGGAAATGATGGCACCAGCAGGAACAACCACACACGACAGAGCGCCTCCGAGGAAGGTCGAGATCTTTCCTGTCCATATGTCTAGGGCCACTGACTGCAGCCCTCCCAGAGAAACGCTAGACCATTCATGCCACAGATAGAGATTTGGTGCTTGTCACAAGCAGGGTGCAGTCCCTAAGCTAGGTATGTAGCAGGGGCAAAGCAGATTGCCACCATCTCTGCCTCCCAGGAGGGAGATAGGCAAGAAGGAAGCAAGGAAAGACAAACCAGGTGACTGGAGATCGTGAAGGTTCAGTGAAGAACTTAAGAGGGTCATGTGGAAGCTTACCCCAAAGGAAGATGCTGTCTAAGCAGACTAGCTGAGGACAGGAGTGAGCCAAGCAGAGATGGCGGGGGGCGGGGGGGGGGGGCGCAGGTTCTGTGGCTACAGTGAAGGAGGCATGTTCTAGGAAGGCCAAAGGGGACCCAGAGTGGAAGAAACAGAAGGGTGCTGGTAGGAAAAGTGGGAGAGGGAGGCAGACACAAGAGCAAGGACAGACTTGGAGCCAGCTCAGGGTCAGCGGTGGAGTCTGCTGACATACTCCAGACAAAAGAAGTTGGTAGTTAGGCCTGTGGTGAAAAATGGCCTGTTTATGACGTGCCCCAGAGAGCGGCCACCACCCCACTCAGTACCTAGGTGTGGAGTGAGGACAGAGGAGGAGCTAGGTCTTTTAACTTCAGTAACTACTTGAAGGGAAGGTGAGCCATCCGCAGAGATGGAGAAAACTGTAGGAAGGACGTATTGAGAGGGAAGCCCAGGAATCTGTTGTGGTCTGTTCAGTGCCAGGTGCCCTTAGCCCAGCAGTCCTTAACCAAGGCCATATTCACCACCAAGGGTAGGGTTGGCAATATCTAGAGAGAGTTTGGGAGAGAGGGATGTTACTGTCACCCCGTGGGTGGAGTCACTAGCATCCTACAAGGCACAGGACAGCCCCCAGCAAAGAACTGCCTAATCCTAAACACCCCTGAGGCCCAGCCCAAGTTCCCAAAAGGCCAGTGTGAACGGTGTGCACTCAGCTTTTCTCCGTAGTTGCTCTGCTGTATCACCATGTCCTCCCACTAGCTGTGCTTAGCTGCTGTACTCTGTGGGATTTGGAAAGGGACTGAGGTCAGTGGGTCTAAGTAAAAACTGTCAGAACGATTAACTCATTCAAGGCCAAACCCAAGGCCAAACAATGAGAAGAGGGGAGGGGGAGGAAGGAGGTGAGAAGAGAACAGCGGGTCCTCCTCCACAGGAGTGGCCCGAGCTGGGGAAGCAAAGAAGCAGCCACAAGAGCCCAGGCAGCAGCAGAGGCGCGCCAGGCAGGACGGGCCTTACCATGTCAGGACATCGAGGAAAGATGGGGATCCAGAGAGTTCTCTCCACTCATGGAAAAATATGAATTAAAACTACATGGAGCGGACATTAGTCAACTATCAGGCCAGAAAAGAACCACGAGACATTTCTATTTATGCCATTAAGAGATTTTTCAGCATGTAAAAAAGGTACAAATATTAAGTCAAGGTAAAATTTAAAAACCATATTTCTAAATTTGACTTGGAAATGCATATATGAATTCATAATATATATTCTACTGAGCAATAAGGGAGGGAGAGGGAGGGAGAGGGAGGGAGGGAGGGAAAGATTTCCTACCTTTGACAGCTGTAAAGTAATAGGAAACAGTACCCGACCTAATGAGCAACGCTGAACACCTCGTCACACACACTGTGAGTATAAATACCTTTTTCTAGCAAAGGAACCAGGGTACCATGAGAAATAGCCCACTCCAGGCCTGGAACATGAAGGAGAAGAAGGGGCCATGACACCTCAGCTTTAGGTTTTGGTGTTCAGCAGGGGAGCAGAGATCCACTACTCTTAAAGATTCAGAGTCCAACTAACTACTGTCCCATGGGCCAAAACAGGACAACTTGAAATATCACATTAAAATATTAAGTTTAAATATATAAATTCACAGTGCTATTTAAAAAAAAAAAAAGCCTACTGGTCACATCTAGAGGATGTACAGGGACTAACTCACTATTCTGAAAAGTGAATAAGTGAATGAATCTAAGCCTTGGTTCGCCTCTCCCTTCTGCATTATGCAGAATTAACATAGGTGACAACTGTAAACAGCACTAGGAATATTGTACACATGCCACACACGAAACCAACTGACTGTTGTCTTTATAACCCACATTGTAACAGCTGCACCTCCAGGGACACTCACACCAACTACCCCTGTCAGATGCCACAGGGACGGCACAGCATGTCTGACCTTTCTGGAGGAGAATGGAGATTTTTCTCTTAATGGCAGAGAAATGCAGAAACAGTATGTGCATATAAATGGCTCTTGCTAAGGGTCTAAATGTTACAGACATGTTAAC